GTGAGAGTAGACACCCTTGTCTCATTCCTGATCTTAGGGGAAAAGTTCTTAATTTTTTTTCACCATTGAGTATGATGTTAACTGTCGTTAACATGTATGTTTCATATAAAGTATGTTGAGGTATGTTCCCTCTAAACCTACTTTGATGGGAGTTTTTAATAATGGATGTTGTATTTATAATGGAATGTATTTGAGCAGCATTTTCTTGACCAGTATTACTTCACAGCAGTGTTTCTCAACTGGGGGCGACTGTGTACCCCAAGGGAAGACCTGTTTGGCTGTCACACCTACAGAGATGCTACTGGCATCTAGTGAGCACACAGACCAGGACTGCTGCAAAGCACACTACACTGTACAAGATAGCCCCTCGTCTCACAACAACCACAACAAATACCCAGTCCCAAATGTCAAGAGTGCCAAGGGGAGATAACCTGCTTCAAAGCAAAACCATTCAAAACATTTTTTTAATTGAGTTTTGAACCCAATGAACAGTTAACGTTTTTAAAAAGGAAGATCATTCTAGACAAAATCTGAACATATAGAGTCATAGTCTGAGAAAACTAAAACATGGCCCCAAATGACACTACTCGGGACAATTAACTTTAAGCATATGAAAGGTATATACAATGTTCTAAATGGACACAATTTTGGCATAATAAATCTCCACTAATATTCACTTTGAACTTTCATTTTTGTACCTGGTACACAGTAGGTCCTCAACAAATATTTGAGGGAAGGAGGAAAGGAAGGATCTATCTTCTTATACCATACACCAGGATCTTTTATAACATTAAACCAAGATAATGGACTGCATTAGGTTATTAGATGTCCTCCAAAGTCCTCCCCTCCCAGGGAGCCAGCCATCCAGAAACATTCCCCAGAACTCGGCTAGGTGTGCCCACAAAAGTTCTCCCCTATCCACATGATGCTGCTTCTCCTTCATTTCCTCTCTTGCCTTCTTTACAACAGATTTGGGATGTGGACATGGCATTGACAGTTTCAACCACACCAATGAGGCTAATTCCCTAAGGAGAGCAGTAAGATAGATATAATCTGGGCTGTTGACCGACCACTTGGCTTAGCACTACTTCTGCAGCATAGATGGCTCACCTCCAGACTGGCAGGAGAAATAAACTTCGTATTTAATCTATCATATTGTGGGTCTCTTTGTTGCAGCCACTTATACAAGGTAATTCTATAATTTTATATCCCCTAGGATGTAAGTACTATAAATGCATTCTATCCAAAGAAATGTTAAATGGTAATTTTTAAAAGTTTCAGTGCAAATAATACTTAAAAATCTGTATTGTATACTTTATAGTAACTATAGGTTATGAGGAAGAAATGCCATGTCAATAATACTGTTAATTCTCATTTATCAATCTAAAAGGAAAAAGAAGGCATACAAGAAATCTGGATCCCTTTGACTAAGGTACTGATAAAAATTCTAGAAGCAAGATGGAAAAGAAGTAAAAGCCAGAAGATTCCACAAACTAAACAATTAGCATCAAATAGATGATCTCTTAACAGGCTATACAGTCAAACTTTGAATATACAATTAAGTTTAATTCAAAAGGCTCTGTATCTATCATGGTTTTCAGAAAATACAGCATATTCTCAATTAAACTTCACAGTATTTTCCTCTAAACTTCATTTGGCATATCTATTTGGTCAAAGATTTATTCCTACTTTTTGTGGATCAGAGGGAATCCTTGGTAGAATATTTCTCATTCAATTAAGACATATTTCAGTTAAGCAGTTCATATTTTCCAAAAACATTGCACTTCTTAAAATATAATCCCCCCCCAATAAAAATTAATCTCCTGAATACTACATCTGATATAAAGCCAAGGAGTATTACTGGGAAATATTTTTACCTTAAACATGAAAATAGTAAACGTACCAATATATGTATTATAATTGCATAACACCCTTCCCCCCATATTTATGAATTGTTCTGAAAAGTTTATTGCCATTAATCCAATGATCTATGCAATTTTTTGTGATAACTTGAAAACCAAAAACATCAGAGTAGGGGGTGCCTGGGTGGCTTAGTTAAGCATCTGACTCTTGATTTTGGCTCAGGTCATGATCTCGGGGTCATGAGATCAATCCCCATATGGGGCACCACACTGAGCATGGAGCCTGCTTTGGATTTTCTCTCTCCCTTCTGCCCCCCCCCCCCACAAAACTGCATTGCCACTGGCACGGTCTCCTTCTCGCTCTCAAAAAACAAAAACAAAAACAATATATCAAGGTAGCATGATTAAAAAAGTAAAAAAGCTTGGTCTGAAATTTTTTTCAAGATTTTATTTATTTGACAGAGAGAGAGAGAGCACACCACAATCAGGGGGAGTGGCAGGCAGAGGGAGAGGGAGAAGCAGGCTCCCCACTGAGCAGGACAATGGGATCATGACCTGAGCCAAAGGCAGATGCTTAACTGACTGAGCCACCCAGGCGCCCCTGAAATATCTTTTTAAAGATTCTCAAATTCTAAAGGATTTAAATGCCTCAGAACACAATCATTTCTAAATTTTAATATAGTTCATGGTATAAATTAGCTATCTTTATTTTTGAAAAAAAAATCCCAATTTACATAGTAATTTAAAAAATATTTCCTACCTTCAGAGAAATATTACTTTGACATTTTTCAAAACAAGGTGTATTTCTCTCCCAATGGAATAGCAACATACCGATTACTGATTAGACAGATTTTGAATTTTAATTCAGGATTATGTTTATCTCATAATATGAAATAAAAATAAAAGTTTCACATTCTCTCTCCTTGCCAATTTTTTAGCCAGTCACTAACTTGTTATCACAGTGACTGGCACTTAGGGGACAGGGCTAGGGGGTGTGCCCCATATCCAGGAACTATCTCAAGTCCCCCTGAACTTTCAAATGTCACTCTATTCATTCCTTTCAGTAGAACCTTCAGTCAATATGAAGACCTGAGCTAAAGAGTAACTCCCTTTTATACACAGAGAAGTTGTTTTAATTTAGTTTTAACAAACAATGAATTTCCCACGAACTCTACTCTCACGTAAGTGTGCACTTTTGTTTGGAGCTTTACCAAAAGTCATTCACCATCTCAGGGAAAAAAAATCACCTCATGTACAGCAAATCCCCTCACTGTGTCTGAGTCCCAATACAGCATGCCTGGATCAGGATTCTTTCGCAATGATTGCATTCATGGCAATGCTGCGAATAGGTGCAAATCGCCGCTTACTTTATCATGTCTTCCATTAGACATGCCTGAGCATTTATATACTGAAATGTGTATTTTGTTATATCTTACTTTCCTGTTATTTTATGTCACAATTAGGGCAGTGTACTGGTTATTTTTAACATAACCTACTTACATATGCACTTATCCATAAATTTCACTGCAGGACAGTAAAAGAATAATACAAAACATTTTATTTTTTTTAAAAAAAGCAAAACAAAACAAAACCAAAAACACACACCTAGATTTGGAGGGATGCAAACCACTGACCTAGAATATGTAGTAAGGTTCCTTGCAACTCCAACATTCCTTGATTCTGTGAAAAACTTTCAGTTTGGCAAGCCCTCATTAGCAAGCCTTTAATTCTACTTATAGTTGAAAGTACTGCAATTAAGTTAAAAAGAACTGAAGCCTTCATATCCAATTGGTCTCAAGAGTCTACACTCCTGGCCTCACAGGTCACCCTGTTTTCTCCTCAGGCGGAGTGTAATACATGTTAGTGATCCGCTGCCTTAGCATTTTTCCCCACAGAGTTCATTTGTCACTGGCAAGAAAATATACACTGGCAAGCAATGCAAATGTTTCCAATATGGACAAAGATGAATGGTGCACAAGTCTACGTAGCAAAGCTTGTCATTCAAAAAGCACCACCTTCAATTTATTATTGGCTTGCAGATGGTAGAACTCTACTCCCATTTTTCGGAGGCAATCATTCTCTGGTCATCAGACTGAGCAGTAATCATCCCCACTGTACCAATTTCCAGTTTGTGAAAATGAACGGTAGCCACCCCTTCCTCACACTACTGGATTCTCAGCACGCCCACAGTCTTCATTATGTCTGACCGTCCACCATGATTAAGTACCTCTTTCCCCCACTGTATTAGCACCCATAGGCAGCAACAATTTGACACTCATAGATTTTCATATGTTAAAATAACTTCCTAAGACAAAGTTTGAGGACATATTCCATGGGGCGGGGGGCAGTGGAAACCAAGCCCATACTTCATATATAATAAATATAACCATCCTGGCCAAAATGACCAAGAGCCAGGAAACACTTGATTGTATACAAAGTATTTAATATCAAAGAAAAAAGAAAAAAAAAAAAAACCACTTAGGTTTGGCTAATATACCAAAACAAGTACAAGATTAAGATCAATCATAAAATTGTACATCAAGAAAACTTATTATTTTTAAAGCAACAGAACTTTGAGGTATTTATTATATTAGAAGATAATACTTCACAAGTTATGAAAATTTAAAATTCCTAGAAGATCCGATGAAAAATTAATAAAACTATGTGAAGGTATATATAGTTTTTAAGAGAGATATAGGTTAGTTTTTAACTCTTACAAGTTTTGGAAAATAAATCATTCATAATTTACATAGGAAGGAAAACCTCTATTATCAGCAGTATCTTTTATAAAGGACTCTCATAATTTTTCCTCTCTGATCTCACATACATGTATGATACCAAATTTCCAATTTTCTAAAAACTTATAACCAAATAACCACATGAAACAATACAGCTCATGTCTCAAGTTTCCCATACTAAACAGTTTAGTCTCGATTCCCATCATTAGACTGACCATCTGACTTCAGTGTTTGGGTTTATAAAGATTATGGGTTGGCATTTGGGGTGAGGGATACATTTTAACCAGATGTAACATTTTAAATCTACATGGTTCAAAAATTAAGAAAAGCAGCTTCGCCACCGGCCCTTTGAAAAAAGGAAATGATACCGCAACGGGGCTGGACCCCAGAAGCTTCTTACCCGCAGGGCCTCGATGACCAGGTCTCTGGCCTCCAGCTCCCCTTCCATCACGCTGAGGAGCATTCGAAGCTCTGATTTACTGAGGGTGTCCACATCAAACTCTTTTTTCTGTAACACAAATATTAAAAAAGCAATGAAAAAACCATTCATAGGACAATGCACATGTCTTAAAGGTATGCAAAGGATGTTTTTATCAGTGGCTCAGCCAATCCCAGAAGCACAGGGGCCCTGTTCAGCAGCAGATAATCTATGCCCAGACCTTCCGGGGGGGGGGGGGTAAAAACTCGAAAGCCAAAGTCCCAAATCTCTTTATTAAGGAAATCTATTTTCCTAGCCTGCCTGCGCACCTGGATTCAGAATCTCTTCAAATTGTGACAGAAATTTAAAGTCTCTGGAGTTTCTATCCAAACAGGCCTAGTCTATGTTCAGGAAAAGCTGCAGAGGTAGCAAAGAAAGCACAAGAATATAATCCTAGAAGGGCCCCAACATAGGGGCTCCTGGAGGTTATTATAAATTCCAGGACATCCAATAACAACAGGTCATGTTTATAGAACACTCTGCAGCAGAGATCACCAGCCGGCAGCCTACGGCCAAATCCGGCCTACAGAGGTGTGTAACTTGGGCCACAAAATGTTTTGGGTTTTTTACTCAGCCAGCATTTTAAAAAAAAACCTAAGATGTCACCAGAAAATCCAGATCTCTGACTTCCTCTGCAAAATCGAGATGACTGGTTAACCCTGGATTCATTCTCACAGAGCAATAATCTGCAGAACCAAGTAGCAGTAGTCCCTTGAGAAGGAGCATGCTCTTCCCTTTGCTGCCCTGCTCTCCCCACCACACACACACAGGGCAGGCATATGTACTTTCAAGAGGCCTGGCCCACCACCCGCATTTAGTCAACTGGGCCTGTGGTCAGGTGAGTCTGGAACCTGCTATGTGGTTATCAAACGCTTTCTTAAGCAACGCCTCTGTAGCTTCTTGCCATCCCAAAGGTAGGCTGAGGCTAGAATAAGTGAGCCCTCCAGAGACTCAATTATACCACAAGGTATCAGCACCATGACCCAAGGATCACGATCCTCATCTATCACTCTTCCAGTCTGTTGTCTTCTCCACATTCCTTCCCTGGTAGCATCCAGTCTCTCCTCTTTAAATCCCACTAATGTACCACTGATGCCCAATACTTTTGTGTCCAACTCTGCCCCCTCCTTTCCTGACAACAAGCTTTATGATCAGGTTTTCTGGTAGCCATCTTAGAGAAGATCAACTAGAGTGCTCACAGCCCTGCTTGGGTGAATCCACAGACTGAGCTCCCTCTACACACATAGTCCACGGCACCCTGCTGCGCAGAGATTCCTTTGATTAAACCCATTACTCTCAGAGGGAGGGGAACACATGTTCATCCCCAAATGCTTCAGAACACCCAACCTCAGAAGCTATTCCACAGGCCATTCCAGAACACTGTTTCACATCTGCATAGCATCCAATGGTTTCCAAAGTATTCAAGAAGAACCAAATCGAATAGGTAAGATATAATCTCTATCTTCAGTTAAGAAACCCACAACTCAGAGAAGTTGGATAACATACACACATTGTTCAGCCAGGAAATGACAAAACTACACCTAAGTGCTATGACTTGTCTACACGCTTTACCAGCCAGTGACAACATTCTTGAGATAAAAAATAGTGCCATCCTATCAATCAGCTAATAAGAACAAGTTTAGCACCTAGATACCTGACCCAATATTATCCTTGCGATGACACAGAAGTAAACATGGCAAGCCAATAAATGATTCCAGGGGCTTTCAAACAGGTATAACCAGAACTGGCTATTTCTCGGTTTCAAAGAAACCTTCTAGAAGGAGATAATAGTACAAAGGTGAAAGAGACCAGAGCTAGCTGGTTCTCCAAAAAAAGATTTTAAAAGGATCTTTCTCTTAAAATTGTTTCTTTTTACACATACATTAGAGCAGTTGTTTGGAAAGGCAGGGGCTCAGGATGGAAAAAGAGAAAAAGAAAAACCTACAGCAAAACCTAAAGGATGTGTTATTTTGAGGATGCCCTTGCTTAGAAAGTTAACTTAAGAGATATTCCCTATTGGGGCACCTGGGTGGCTTGGTTGGATGAGCTTGCGACTCTTGGTTTCGGCTGTAGTCATGATCCTAGGGTCTTGAGATCGAGCCCCACATTGGGCTTCGCACTCAGCGTGGAGTCTGCTTGAGGATTCTCTCTGCCCCCACCCCCATCCCACTCGCATGTGCTTGCGCTCCCACTTGCTCTCTTTCTCTCTCTGGAATAAATAAATAAATCTCTAAGAAAAAAATTGAGATTCCCTGTGAATAGTAAAATCTAATATACTAGGGCTCAAAATCTGCTCCCACTACATAGTGGTGTCACACAGGTCTTATAACCCAGTTGTTCTCAAAGGTGGGCTTGCGTAAGAATCATGTGGAGCCCTTGTTAACATGGACTGCAGGGCCCCACCTCTGGAGTTCCTGATACAGGTCTGAGGTGGAGCCTTGAATTTGCCTTTCTAACAAGCTCCTGTTGCTGCTGCTAGTCCAAGGACTACACTTGGAGAGGAATTTCTGTATCTTACCTGATCTGTTTTCTCATCTATATAATACACATCCTAACATTTACCCCACAAAGGTTTTCTGAGCATTAAACAAGAACACATAAAAGAAGTAAGTGCTAAATAAAAGTGGTGATTGTTATTATTCAAGCTGAGAGCACCCAGATGTTTTATGTAGGGAGGAGTGGACTATTGGCTATATGCCTATTTCTTTGAAAATCTACCAGCCTCAGTCCAATAAAAACTCAGCTTATTGACTCTGATGAAAGACAGAATCTTTTATCCTGCTTTTTCCCACTGAGATGGCAGAGTAAACTGCAATTCATACATGCTTTAGAAGGTAATGTTTTATTAACGCTGCTGCTGGTTGTTCTAAAGATTTTAATTAATTGTATATTTTATTGTCCTTGTTTCCCCGAAGCTTCATAAGCAAAGTACTCCATTTTAAATACTAATAAATTATGAAAGACATTGCCAAGATTCGGATTCACATTAGAGTCAGGAGTGCTTGCTTCAATCTATCATCATCATTACATGGGACCTGCAACCAACACTTCTGTTTTTTAATGTATCACCATCAATAAAAAGGGAAATTCATTAAAATAAAAAACACTGTTAAAAAGGTTCTTGCTAAACCACTGGTTAGGTTACACAGAATGTTAAAAAAATAATAATAATAATCTGTTTCCCCTCACAGTGTATTAAGTGATGCACTATTTTAAATATAGTTTGTCTGCCTGCCTGCCTCTCTCTCTCTCTCTCCTCTGTTTCTCACCCCTGGGTCCTCACTAAAAACATTACTACTTCCTGGCCTTCAAGAATAAGAATATTATAATAATATTTTTCAATTGTCATTCTCCAATGCTTGATGGTACCATCTACTGTTCTGGTAAAACAGAGTAATAGGAAGTATATGAAATCATGTTAGAGGTCATTTATTTACAAATAAATTCAAAGCACTTTAGTACTGTTAGAAATATAAAAAAATCCCAAAAGCAAAAATCCCAACAAAAAAGTATATTAGTTTCATATGAAATGGCATTTATCTGACTTGACACATGTACGGTACAGAAATACTCAGATATAGAAAAATTATTAATGTTTTTTGACTTAAAAACAAAATAACTGTTATAAATCTTTTATGTTTTAAACCACATTGAGGTGTGATTGACATACAAAATGCTGTACATATTTAATATGTACAACTCGATGAGTTTGGAGAGACAGGAAACCATCACCATAGTCTAGGCCATAAACGAATCCATTGCCTCCAAGTTTCCTCCTTTTTTTTTTTTTTATAAATTTTATATTTTAAAAGGCAAACTAACTTGATAACCTAATTTTCAAAAAAAGAGAGAAGACAGGATAGATCCAGATGCCACCACTCACATAAAAAATCAGGATCTCTATCAGGACATTCATGAAAACATGACACCCCCACACCTCCAGCAACAACAAAACCACAGCAGACATGTTCACACACTGAGCTTTATTATTACTGTACTTGTTTTCCTCAATAAAGAAAAATCAGACCTCATCTTTAAGTGATAGCAAGGCACTCAAAAAAAGAAAGAAAAAAACCCAGCTAGATTTCAACTCCACAGGCCACCCCTCTGCCTGTCATGTTTGATGGTTGCCAGGAGAAGTACTCCAGGAACCATGCTTAACACCTAATTTTAAAAATCTGGCGCAGGCAGCTGGTCATCAGAGACAGCGCCTTCTTTGGGATATAAACATACATACGAAAGAGGAGACCCAACCCCAAACTCTTACTGTTCAACACAGAAGTCTTCAACAAGCTCTAAATCACTTGGGGTGGGCGTGGGGAGGGCATTCTTCCAGATTTTCTTATACAGCCTCAGAGAGAGAGGGAGGGAGAAGACAAAATAGAACTTGGCTGAGTTAAGTCGTCTTTAGTTGCCAGAACTAAACATAGGCCAATACCAGTTACCTCCACTACCACTCCACACCCTCACCTCTGGAGGAAAAAAAAAAAGGAAGAAAAGAAATCTAAAATACTGGGTTTTATGTAGCGAATTTCAACAGTCACAGCCAAACAGGGCCAGGAGATCCTTACCCATATCTTTTCAGAATTAAAGGGGTCAGAACATTGAACATGGTTGTCAAAGAGAGATTATGCACCACAGTGGCCAAAGTACCCCTCAGATCTTTGCCCAAACTTATCAGTAATGGTGAAAAGCTAATGACCAAACACAGAGCCAGACATGTTCTCTGGCACTTCCCACAGACACCAAGAGCATCTCCTGTGGGTTTCAAATCTAGTGGGCTACCCTACATTTGATCAATGAGTTTACCACATGGGAAGGTGGTGAGGTACCTGAGAAAGCCAATGGGCTAGAAGGACATTATTTCATCTGTTTGGACTGCAGGTTTCTCAGCGGTAAAGTAAGAATGTTGTACTAAGTGATCCCTAAAATCTCCCCCAGCTCCCGAATGTCCTGATTTCACAGACTATCAGGGTAACTGGATTACTGGACTGAGGAAATTTAGGTCATTCCATGAAGCCTTTGAGAAA